CTTATTGACCATCCTAAAGGACCAAGTAGGTGCATCACCACTTTGACTATTGACCATCCCAAAGGACCAAGTAGGTGCATCACCTACTAAGACTCTTTTGACCATGTTATTGGGCCAAGTACACTACCACCTACTTGAATTAATCTGGCCCTAGTTGATTAGAAGAATAAGGGGAAATGGACAGCCAAGGCCCAATATTCTTGAGTCCAAAAAAGGCCCAAGTGAAATGTCCAAGTAGGTGGATCACCTACTTACATTAATTATGGCCCAAATTGACAAGAATAGAGCGATAATTGGCAGCAAGGCCCAACAAGTGTTGAAGTCACAAAGGCCCAAGTTAAAAGGCCAGGTAGGTGGGTCACCTACTTGACAATATATGGCCCAAAATTGGCCAAGAAAGTCGGCCAATGCACCTTCTTTTTAAAGGGATAAAGATCAGATCTTTTGCTTCATTTTTAACTTGAAAAATTTCAGATTTATTAAGTTTCTCTCTTGGTCTTTCTTAGATCAACACAGCAGCCCTAAAACACCTTACGGTTCTTGAATATTGTCCCCTTTTTCAAGTAAAGGTTTGAAGGAAAGTTTCAGTTCTTGAAGTACAAGTTTAGAGGATACATTTCCAGAAACTAAGGTAAGGATACTGCCCATTTTTGCCTCTCTTTAAATACAGGTTTTGGGTGGAGAATTTTGTATATATTTGTCAAGAACTCATGGATGGTTATAAATCCTTGAGTTCAATTTTCTCCTATTATGCTGGAAGATTTTTAGGGATTTATAGTGGCTGCAGTTGTATTAATGTATAGAAGAAGGGTGTGGTGGTTCACCATTTGTGTAAGGGTTGTATTGGCCTACTTTCCATCAAGTGTTTAGCTACTGTTTTTCGAGGTCCTTAATGTGATTAATTGCTAACATTAGATTAATCATGACTTATATTGTAGATTAGCACCAAAAAGGGAGGCTGAATCACAGGTTTTGGGTGGAGAATTTTGTATATATTTGTCAAGAACTCATGGATGGTTATAAATCCTTGAGTTCAATTTTCTCCTATTATGCTGGAAGATTTTTAGGGATTTATAGTGGCTGCAGTTGTATTAATGTATAGAAGAAGGGTGTGGTGGTTCACCACCATGGTGTATATACCTTTAACTTTTTTATCCTTCCTATTTCATGGAAGCAAAACCCAGCCTTGGGTAAAAGCAATAAAAGTTTAAGGGGTATTTTGACGATTTTGAACTATAGTTAACTTTGTCTTAGTAGGAGACCCTAGAAACCTCAATCCAAAGCTTGGCCGCCTCAGGCTGATGGACACCACCTCCGGTGGGCAGCTATTATCGGAGGAATTCCCACCATTACTGCCTAATGGAATACCCAACAACCCTAATCCATTAACAACTGGTATAAACTATGTCAACATGCTAAAACCCAAGATTCAGAATTACACAGGAAGTAAAATCCCGCCCAAACTAGTGACAATTGTGCAAGGGGAACCAAATGTAACGTGGAAATCGTCTGAAGTAAGGAATTTGATAATCCAGGAAAACTTACAGTACGCGATTATCGGGAAATTTTCCTACGAAAAGCCGGAGATAGGAGAATTAAGGAAGACACTCCCAAAGCATTGTGGAATCAAAGGAGAAAGCACAATTGGAGTTCTGGATTCTAGGCACATTCTGATTAGATTATCACTATTGGAAGATTATGTACTATTGTTATCAACATTTGCATATTATGTCAAAGCGAAGGAGAAGTACTGGCAAATGCGCACATTGAAGTGGGATCCATGGTTTGAACCAGACGTGGAAACAACAATTGGAGTGGCTTGGATCTCAATGCTAGATCTTCCACCGAATTGTTTTGCCAAGGAAGCAATTTTTTCATTTGCATCAGCAGTAGGAAAACCTCTCACGGTAGATATGGCGACTAGAAATCAAACAAGACCAAGCTGTGCAAAGGTGAAAGTGGAGGTAGATCTGGTTGCTAAGTTGCCGCAAAGGGTAAAAATTAATGAAGAAGATGATATTTTAGGGGAAATCAAATCTAAATGGATCAAAATCCAGTATGATCATATGCCTATGTATTGTAGCGAGTGCTGCCTGCAGGGTCACGATGAGAATAATTGTTGGAATATCCATCCAGAGCTTCATGAAGGGGACAAGCAGGAACAAAGAACCGAATCAGGAGAAGGTGCAAATGCGACTCAAAGAAAGATACTAGCCAGTGGTAAAGTAGAGGGAATCAGCCAAAACTATCAATGGTTGACAAGAAAAAGAAAATTCAAAAAGGATAGGTATGGACATGTTATAGGGGAAATCAATGACAAAGAATTAGATGCAAGGAAAAGCAACAACTCTTTTGAGGTACTGAGGGAGGTAGAGAGGGAGAATTACAAAGAAGCAGAACAGGAAGAAGATCAGGCAAAAGAAATGAACACTAAAGAATGGGTACAACGTGCATTCTCAACCACTCCAGCGAAGGTAACACAAAGAGAGGAAGAGAAACATGAGAAGACATGTATGAGTACTAGCTCAAGTAATGAAGTAAACCAGGAGAAGGGGAACAATGAACAACAATTCATTCAACAAGAGGAAGAGGCAGAATTGAAGAAAAGGGAGAAGTCGGAGAACATACATGAGGAGTATAAAGGCTCATTGATAGTGGTGGAAGAAGCAAATCCACTTCAAGTGGATAACCAGAAGATCGTTAGTAATGGAGAAAAAGATAATATGGACACAGAAGACTTAAAGGAGATAGTGAACAGAATGGCAATTGAAGGGAACTTATTGCTTACACAAGTTGAGACTATAAACAAAATACATGGAAAACAAAAGAGAAAAGGCACTGGAGAAAGGCAATTCCAGACAACCACAAGACAAACAAGGAGTACAGTATCAAAATCAACCAAATCTCAATGAATGCTTTAATTTGGAATATTAGATCAGTGAATACTCAAAAAGCATTTACTAGGTTGATCAAATTGCCTAAGAGGTATCAGTTCTGTCTAATTGGAATTATGGAACCATTTCAAGATATTCAAAAGTTGGAGCGGTATCGACAAAGACTAGGAATGCAACATGCAGTTTCAAATATAAATGGAAAAATATGGGCATTCATGGAAGCAGATGTTGAGTATGAGGTAGTATCAGATTTAGAGCAACAAATTACTTTAAAGGTACTACATCACGCTCAAGGGATGGAAGTACTAGTAACTCTGGTGTATGCTAAATGTACTATGGTAGAAAGATTACAATTATAGGAAGCACTAGGAGATATTGTGGAGACAGTACCACTGCCTTGGGTGATTGGGGGAGATTTTAATACCATTACAAATGAGGAGGAGAAATCAGGTGGCTTACCAATCTTAACTGAGGAAACTCAAGACTTCAATCACTGTATTAATGTTTGTAATCTTGAGGATCAGGGATTTATAGGAAGTAAATTTACATGGTGGAATGGTCGAACGGCAGAAAATTGCATATTCAAAAGGTTGGACAGAATATTATGCAATGATGAAGTGAATAATATATTCCCAAAGATTGAGGTGGAGCATTTAACCAGAAGTGGATCAGATCATTCTCCTTTGCTACTAAAATGCAGTAGTGGCAACGAGAGGGTGGTAAAACCATTCAGGTTCCTAAACTTCTGGCTAAAGGAGGAGTCGTTTAAGGAAGTAGTGGTACAAAATTGGAAAGCGGAATTTGAAGGGAATCCTTTTAGCTTATTTCACTATAAGTTAAAGAAAGTTAAGAGAGCGCTGGCACAATGGAGTAAAGAAACCTTTGGCAATATCTTTCTAGAAATTGCCACGCTGGAAGATACTATCAAAGTTCTTGAAACACAATTTGAGGATACACCGTCCGGCGAGAACAGAAGTAGATTGCAGAAAGCTCAAGCAGAGTTGTACACACAGCTACAGAGGGAAGAAGAATTTTGGAAACAGAAGGCAGGATTTGAATGGTTCAAATATGGTGAGAGAAATACAAAGTTATTTCATACCATAGTTAAAGGAAGAAGGAGTAGACTCAGAATCAAAAGAATCCAAAATGAAGAAGGGGAATGGGTTGAACAACAAGACCAAATAGCAAGGTTGGTAGAGGACTTTTATAAAAGTCAATTCACTAAAGGAGAGGAAATAACAGACTTTGATATGGTGAATGAAGTACCACGGGTAATCACTGATGAACAGAATGAGGATATTCAGAGAAGTCCAAGTAATGAAGAAGCAAAAGCAGCGGTGATGGGTCTTAACAGACACAGTGTTAGAGGCCCAGATGGAATGACAGGAGCATTTTATCAAGACTCATGGGAAATAGTGGGAGAGGATTTATGCAAAATGGTAAAAGCTTTTTTTGTGGGAGCTGAACTACCACAATTCATAATGCACACAAACATAGTCCTATTACCAAAGAAACTGGTAGTTAATACTTTTTCAGATATGAGGCCCATCTCCTTGAGTAATTTTGTGAATAAAATATTTTCAAGAATTATTCATGAAGGGATCAAAGGGGTGTTGCCACTGATTATTTCTCCAGAACATGCAGGGTTTGTTAAGGGGAGAAGCATAGCTGAAAATGTTTTGCTAGTGCAGGAAATCATTATCGAAATTAGAAAAAGGGGAAAACCTCCAAACTTGGTAATCAAGTTGGACATGATGAAGGCATATGATAGGGTGGAATGGTTGTATCTTACAAAGGTCTTAAGAAGAATGGGATTCGGGGAACGATTAATTGATATAGTCTATAGATTGATTGGAAACAATTGGTACTCCATTTTACTAAATGGGCAGCCAAAAGGTTTTTTTCAATCGTCTAGAGGCTTGAAACAAGGAGATCCTCTATCACCAACGTTGTTTATATTAGCTGCAGAAGTAATGTCAAGAGCTCTGACTGCTTTAGTATTGAAGAAAGGTTTTAAACGTTTCGGAATGTCAAGAGGAAGCCCTAAAAAATCATTTAGCCTTTGCGGATGACATGATTATTATGTGTACGGCTGAAGTGCGTACAATGCAAATGGTGAATGAAGTATTAGAGAAATATGAGAAGATATCAGGTCAAAAAATTAATAAGGAGAAAAGTGCAATTTATTTGCATCATAATGTGTCACATGGGGATGTGGTGGTAGCTGAAGTTACAATGGGTATACTGAGAAAAGAATTCCCTTTTACATATTTAGGATGCCCTATCTTTTATAGGAGGAAGCAGAAGGAATATTATCAGCAGATGATTAACAGAATCAGTACCAAATTATAGGCTTGGAAAGGGAAGTTGTTGTCCTTTGGAGGAAGAGCAATTTTAATTAAACATGTATTGCAAAGCATTCCTGTCCATTGCTTGTCAGTGATGAATCCACCAAGCAACGTAATGAATACAATACAAAAGATGATGGCACAATTTTTTTGGAGTAGTTGCATAGGTGGTAAAGGTCGACATTGGACAAGCTGGAACAAGCTGTGTTTACCACAAGCGGAAGGAGGATTGGGATTTAGAATGATGCATGATGTGTCAATGGCTCTATTCTGTAAATTATGGTGGAACTTCAGGACGCAAAGGACAGTATGGAGTCAATTCCTTTTCAACAAGTATTGTAAAAAGGAAAATCAGAATGTAGTAATGTGGAAGGCAGGATATTGTGGATCGCAGGTATGGAAGAAAATGTTGCAGGCTAGAGATCATATAGAGCACCAAATTTGGTGGCAAACCAAAAATGGATCGGCTCATCTATGGTATGATAACTGGACAGGATTAGGGGATCTATATTCTACAAGTGAGAAAAGCTATGAATGGGATGAGAGATATCAACAAGTTAAAGATATAAAAAGGAAGGAGAATGGGATGAGCAACTTATGCAAGAGATTTTTCCAACTGAAGTGGCTAACTTCATCAAAGAAAAATCAGACCACCAAGGGAAGGGAATGACACTGATAAACCTACTTGGATGCTTGCTTCAAATGGAAAATTCTCTGTTAAATCGGCTTGGGAGTATGTTAGGCATAAAGAACAACCCAGCCAAATTCTCGGGGGTTTATGGGTGAAAGGAATGCCTTTCAAGATTAATTTCTTAATGTGGAGATTGTGGAAATTTAAAATTCCGGTGGATGATAGAATTTGAAGATGGGGAGTGGAGGGACCTTCGAGATGCTGGTGTTGCACCAATCCCTCCCAAGAGACTTTGGCCCATGTGTTCCGGCAATCAGAATTTGCTAACAGGACCTGGTCCTACTTTTCTTCTTTTGCAGGTTTGAATATCCAACAACTTAATCTCAGAGAGTGTATTATGCAATGGTGGGGAGCTAATGTGAGACAAGGGATGCAAGCATATTTCAAGGCTATCACAAGCATTATAATTTGGGAGCTATGGAGAAGAAGGAACGCTAGAAAACATGAGGAGCTAAGAACTACATAGCAAAGAAGTATTCACAATATTACAGGGATCATATTGAGACTACTAAAGGTCCGAAAGCCAAAGAGGAAGTTTCCCAATACTTGGCCAGAAATAGTAAGAGAGTTACAGGAATACAGAGCAGTAATCAAAATCACTAAGGTACAATGGGATATGCCACAAATAGGATGGGTCAAATACAATACTGATGGAGCATCGAGAGGAAATCCAGGAGCTAGTGCTTATGCATTCTGTCTACGAGATGAAAATGGGGACTTACTATATGCGAAAGGATAGAAGATAGAAGACACTACAAATACTGAGGCAGAAGCAATAGCTATCTTAGAAGCAGCTAAACATTGCAAGCAAGCAGATAGTCATAGAATAATCATTCAAACAGATTCATTACTACTACAACAAGTATTTATGATGAAATGGGAATGTCCATGGTCTATTTCAGACATGATAGAGCAGGTCAGGGAACTATTGGAAGGCAAAGAGGTTCAGTTTCAACACACAATGAGGGAAGGCAATAAAGTTGCAGATTACATAGCAAATCTAGCATTAGATAAAGGTAATTGCAGTTTTGTTCACTTTCAAGAGATGAAATCAACTGGAAAGAGACTAATTAACGTTGACAAACTACAATGCCCTTACATCAGAATTTCAACATGCAAAGGATAAGGAGTTATGACAGGATAGAAATTAAGTGGTTCACTTTAATATGTACAACATTGTTTGGTACCAAAAAGAGTGTAATATTATCTAGATGGACTGGCAGTAAAAGGATATATTTACAAGGCATGGCTTTATAGCACAAACAAGAACGAGATGAGCTTACCCAGTGAAAGAAGGCGATTTCATTTGACAGAAGCCCTCAAGAAGATACTAAAGGAGCGGAATTCCCATCAACTAGAGAACACAGCTGGAACAAAGAAGAAAGAAGAAGAATTAGAGAACTGATTGAAGAAAAGATGAATTCAAAATAAAGGAGGAAAATGTCACTTCAGATAACCATAGCTTGGCTAGAAGGATCTGAGAGATGCACAAAGACATCATGGTATGAGGGAAGCGGCAGAGGAGCTGTTTTAAGCTCTAGATTAGGAAACCATAAAGTTCAGGGTAATTGTACTGGTCAAAGTGTAGTGTTTTTGCTTTGCTTTATTTTATATTTGTTGGGTTAATTTTGTTGGGACCTTTGGACAGGCAGAATGGGCCACTGCCATTTGTATTGCTGATTCTCACTCAATAAAAGCCCAAGTTATAAATTTTTTAAAAAAAGTGGTGGTTCACCATTTGTGTAAGGGTTGTATGGGCCTACTTTCCGTCAAGTGTTTAGCTACTGTTTTTTGAGGGACTTATTGTGATTAGCTACTAACATTAGATTAATCATGACTTATATTGTAGATTACCACCAAAAAGGGAGGCTAAATCATGATAGTTATATTGGTCAGAAAATAAGGTATGTAAGGTTATTTGATTTCCTACTTCTCTGGCATGAATCCAACACTTGTATTACAAAGTAAGCTTTCTAAGTGCCCTTGGTAGTGACTGATCCATAGTTGCAATTCCTACTCCCTAGAGCATTAAATTGAGCACTCTAATATGATTTTATTACTAAATACACGTGCTTACTCTACCAAGTATTAGCATGCAAGGTTTAAACTTGTTTCATCGTCAAAGTACCCTTGGCACGTATTTCCCTTATATAAATCAAAATGATTCTAGATTACACATGGTACTTATGTTTATATGTTGGATATACAATCTTCCCATATCTTACCAACTTGCTTCAATTGTCTATTCCATCATATATGTCATCTTTCACATGTTCATATGCTCCCTTTATTGGTCATTACTCCCATTGTGTTAGACTATAATGTTACCTCACAAGATCCCTACTTGCTCTATTGTACATTTTATATGTACTTACATGGGATATGTATTCGTCCTTATGTTGAATATTGCCACGTTCTCCCTCTGTTCCATGTTCATTTATACCTTGTAATTGATATTAGTTAGTGAGTATTTGTCTATCATATAGAGTTCAAATCTCTTGGCTGAATGTTAAATGTCTTCACTTGATATGTGCTTCAATTTGAGATGTCAAAATGCTTATTGAGTCATATAAGCTCGTAAGTATTATGTTGGTGTCACATTTTTTTCCCATGTCATTGTTATTATCGTAAGTTCATATTCATATGTCTTCTACTACTGGTCCATAGTTCCAAATCTCAACAATGATTATGACCACCACAACAGCAATCTCAAAAGAGTTATGATCATCAAAAGAACAATCTCAAAAGAGTATGAACATCAAAACAACAAACTCAAAGATTAAAGAATCTAAGTGCAGCAATATGTATAATTATGGTTGGCAGCCCAGGGGCGAATGCCTAGCATGGGTCGATCCCAATTGGTAAAGAAGGGTAGCATCTCAGGGGGGAAAGCCTAGCATGGGCCGATCCCAATTGGTATAAAAGGGTGGCAACTCAGGGACGAAAGCCTAACATAGGCCGATCCTAATTTGTGGAATTATGAGGACAACATCCCAGGGGTTAAAATGCCTAGCATGGGTCATCCTCTTCTACCACTGATCAGCTAGTCATTTGTATCATATGTCTTATAAAGATTATAATGCACATAAAGGTAAAGAAAAGAATGTAACATACACAATTCCACAAGTATAAGCAAAGGTGGTCTCTAATCCTTATCTATTGGTATTTAGTTTCACTTGAGCTCTCATTTTACATATGGTTGTTTTATGCCTTACATATTCAGTACATTCTTTCGTACTGACGTCCCTTATTGGTGATGCTGCATTTCATGCTGCAGGTACAGGTCAACTGGTAGATCTCCCCAATAGAAGCACATAATACTCAGCGATTGTTGGTGAGCTCCAAGTTGATTTGGGGCTTTACCGAGTCTTTACTATGTGCATTTTCATAGTGGTACAGTCATGGATTCTAGTAGCGGCTTTGTAGACATTGTAAAGCTATCATCTGTATTCATCGTTTCACTTGTCATATGTATCGGTTCAGCTAGTCGACATGTGTTGTATATGAAGTTTCTCATTAGTAAATCTATCAACATAGTAGTTTACTTACTCATCATAGGTCACTTATAAAGCATGTGTTCATATGGTACTTGTCTGCCTCACCTAGGGTTGGGGTGTGACAAAAGTGGTATCAGAGCAGTTCGTCCTAGGCAGTCTACAAAGTCGTGTCTAGTAGAGCCTTACTTATGAATGTGTTGTGCGCCACATTTATAATTAGGGGGTTACTTGGACATTTAGGGAATGTTACTTTCCTTCATATTCCAAATCGTGTTATAAAGCAAAGTTAAGAAGTCAATTTCCACTTGTACCTGATCATGTTATTCATATTATGCTTACTATGGTTAGGTTAATGGTAGCTAAAATGTAAGCATGCAACTACAGAAAAGGATCTTAAGTTATCAAATTTAGATTAGATTGAGCTCATTTTATTCGACCGTCTCACTCCACAAGGTATGTAAGGCTTTTATGTTATTTGCATCTAAAAGTTGCATTTGTACCATTTGTATCATGTTGGTTCAATTGAGAAAGATATAGTATATGCTTAAAAAGTGATTGGTTACCTAGTTACATAAATGAGTTGTAGCATTTCCAGGCAGATCTAGGAGGATGTAACTGATGTACCGTGAGTTTATGATGTTTTTGATACATTTCACTTGAGAGTTGTGTGTGTCTAGGGCTATTTTTTATTAGTTTATATGTTGTTTTCTCATGTTTGCAGGGAATAGGTTCAGGCGCGGAAACTTGAAGACACAACTGAAAGAAGTGCAGAAAAGGGCATCTACGAAGGCAACTTATGGATCGTAGGTCCAGTTATGCCCCGTAAATGATATTCGTAGAAGGGCAGGAAAGGCATTGCTGAAGATCAGGGAATTCTTGACCAAGTATGGAACCACGGTTGTGACTTACGGACCGTAGATTGATCTACGAACCGTACTATTGCTCCGTAAAATCATTCAGAGATTGGTTCCAGTACCTGATGCTGAAAAAATATAAGTGTGGCATTACGGGGAAGAGTTATGGACCGTAGATAGACTTACGGTCCGTACTGTTGAATCATCGATTACGACAGAGATTTCGCAGATTTTGAAGAAAGAAAAATTGCCCAAGTCCTGAGCCATGGAAGGGACCTAAGGACCGTAGGTCAGTCTCGTAGAATGAAGACGCGTCCTGCAGCTTTATTTCCTTATTTCATTTCCTTTTTAGTTAGGACTTATTTTCTATATATATGGGATGTAAACCTCATTTTCAGAGGTTAGACATTATTATTTTTGTTCTAGTTTTTGGCTTGGGAGATTAACTTGCAACTTTAGCAATTCTTAATTTCCTAAGCACGTTTTGGTGATTTTTACTTCGAAATTCAAGTTGAAATTCTGGGATTATTCTACTCTACTACATAAGTTCATGATTTATTCTTCAAACATTATGAATTGTTTTCTTGCTAATATGGGTAGCTAAATCCACAACTAGGGTTGTTGGAAC